GGGGGGGGAGAGAGAGAGGAAGTTGTGGTAGTTTTGGAGGCTACTAATAAGCTTATAACCGAAAATACAGCTATGCTTTTTGAAATTGTCGCGTTGAAGATGCAACGAAGCTAAGAAAAAATACATTATATAATTGTTGGAAAACTTGAGTTTAGAGACTTGACTACAAGCGCCTTCATCTAATAAAATAACATTGTAATATTTTAAAGGGGTCGGAATGGGATTTCTTTTGTTTTTTGAAATTTCCAACTATAGTTTGAAATTTATGTCTAAAAAACACAATATTGTTGTTTAATTGACAGCGTTTTTTTTATCTGTTGTATTAGTTTAGTCCGCAATGCAAATGTTGATAATTCCTAAATTTTAATTACAGGAAGGATTTTTTTTAATTTAAAAGGTACCTATATAATTTCATATTGTTCATATTATATTTTGCTGTGTAATAGGTTTATTTTCTTACTTCGACCATATTAATTCTTTTGATAGTTTACGATAAGAAAAACATTTTGGAACAAAGTTCCTTATTTTTTTTTGTTTTAATCTCGTACTTGTTTTATTTTCGATTTTTCACAAAGACCCAAGTTTAATTACAATACTTCTTACAAGGAAGTTCGAGAGAGATATACAGAGAGTTTATGGTATGTTTGTATTTATGGAGATATGATGTGAATTTATTCGGTGATAATGATACTATATTCGGTGGCAGGATGTTGATTTTCATCACGTTAACGGCATAGAGTGAAACGTTATTATGAATAGTTAATATGATTGTACGATGAATAAACGATAATAATTTTGATAAGAGTGTAAAAATGTCTCTAGGCGGCCTCCTAATTTTTTTCTCTATTAAATTATTGTCCATGTTGCGGTTTTTCTGTCTGGATTTTTAATTGTTCCAAGAAAATAATTGACATAATCGAATGCATGCTAATGTATACACATATAAATGTGTGTGTGTGTGTGTGTGTATATATATATATATATATATATATATATATACACACACACACAAATATTTAACATAAATTATTACTAACACGATTGTATAAGGTGTAATTCTTATGGTGATTTTTTGTAGATACGGCTATTGTCGATTTGCACGAACAAAAGCTTTTGACTTTGACTTTTTTTTTTTACTTTACTTATGACCGTAATTTCTTCCCTTTTTTTGGCGTTATCCCACTAGTTGGGTTTGTCAACGGTCATCGATCATCTAAAGAATATTCAATAAAAATTTGAAACTGATGATTCGACTATTTTTTTTTTTTTAAAAAAGACGTTATAGAGCGTCTTCATTTTTGAAGAAATTTTTTCAGTTGAAAAATATTAAAATTTTATGGGTGTTTTTATCGATTTTTGAAGGAGGAGGGGTGAAATTTTAAAATTGTTCGCCCAATATTCAATTAAGTACCAGCTTTCGGGTAAGATGTCTTATGTGTATAGACTTTCTAACAAACAAAACTAAAAACGCATTATTGTAAAAACAACAACCTTCACAATTACACGCGTCATAGATAATATCGGAATATACAGGCAGAGAAGTATAACGTTTTATAAAAATCAAAATAAATCACTTGGTTTAATTTGAATCACGTTAATGCCGAAAAAAAAGGCCATTTTGTTACAACTTACAGCCGAAAACGAAATCTTTCTCTTTGACGTACCCCTTAAGAAGTGTAATCGCGCTCGATCACTCGACGTACAGTAAACAAAGGCGACCTGCAAAACGGTAGTGCTCTTTAAAAAAAAGGCAATTCAAGTCGTCGCCTTGCTTTGTGTAACGACGAAACGGCAATATGTAATATCGATCTTTGGAGAAAATAAAGTAATATTCAATTTCTCTTCAAAACGGTTGTTGTTTGGTTATGTAGGTACGGCGCGCGTAATATGGTGAAATTCGATACTGGTTTTTTTTTTTTTTTTTGCCATCGACGAACGTAACACGGTTGATTGTGTATAGTGTTTGATATCAGCAGTTTTCCGCCCTCGTTTTCTTTGTACCGCAAACCGTGTCATGATATCGATTCCGGCGCCCTTCACCCGGTGGCGGTGGCGGTTTTGCGCCGTTTCGTCCTTATCCTTGCCGCCCTCTCTCGCCCTCTCCTCCTTCCCAAAGGGGCGGCTGGGCCCGAGCCCCGGTGACCCATTTACGACCACCGGCGTTAGCGCCATCCCCCCCGGCACGGCTGATAGACCGGGGACGGCTGGTGGCAGTGACCTGATTTCCACATGATCTCAAAAATCCGGATTTCGCTTGTAGCAGCATGTACCTAAATATAGTTGATAAAACATACAAGGCGATTCACTAACTGCGAACCCGGCCAACGTCTCGGAAGATTGTCTTGAATTTTACCTTAAACACGACCACTTAAAAAATACCGCAATTAAACTATAGAATTGTGTGAACGTTGGGGGTTGATAATATCGAAAAAAAACCGACGAGAGAACCCAAAAGAAGTTCGTGTGTGGTATTAGTCGTGTGTTCCTTTAGAAATCCAAACATTTATTATGATTTCCCGCTTTAAGACTCGTCACGTATTATAAAACATTTTAAGCGCAGCCTGGAATTTGTAACGTTATAAAATATATACATTTAAAATTAAATAAGAAAATTCTTCGTACATTTTCCCCGCCCCGTCTTTAATTATTTTTTTACCCACTCCAAGTTTGAGATGGGTCTTCTGGAGAAGTACTCTGTATTGGGCAAAAAATATGATATAGGTTTCGTATACACGCTTGTAGTTTGTTATCATTTAAACATTGATTTTTAATAGAACATATATTTAATATAACACACTACAGTATATCTATATATGTATATATATATACTATTAGCCTGCTATTAGATTATGTGTCCCTGAATAGATAAATATTAATAATATGCAGTATTGTAGTAAGTGCCTACTAATTTATTTGGTAAACCCTATAAATTCAACCTTAAATGTAGGTAATAATAATTATTATTTTTCTTGATATTTATTCGATTTACATAATTAAACGAAGCACCACGTCAATAGAATAAACAAGTTTAATGGCTTCATTTTTTTCAATTATTATTTAGCCTTTACCTATGACGTGTTAAATACTGTTGACTGATTTACCAGTTGTGTTAAAATTACACAATAATACTTAATTACTAGGGTACTCTTTAGTGATTAATTGTAATAAAATTCAATAAATAAAATCGTAACGTACATAAGTAATTAATTAAAAAAAAAAACGAAATATCAACAGATTACAAACGGTGAGACACATTATTATTTTACTATTTATTTAAAACAATATTTAACAAATATGTACCAACTTTAGCTTAAAAGGTAATTATTTAGTTAGTATAAAATATTGTAAGAGAACATTTTAAAAATGATTTTCATTTAAAAAAAAAAACAACAGTTCCATTTATTTTTATCATTCAACTCTTGAATTTTTGCCTTTTTATTCACTCAAAACTTCACAGTATTTGATATACAAAAAAATGGTTAGGTGGTAAAATATTGTAATAATTTTCACTGTGATTATCTGTCAAAAAAAAAAAAAAAGAAATAACCAATAAAGTATCATCATTACAGTATTGACAAGTATGCACTTTAAACAACGTATTGAATAAGTATTTAAAGTTAGTGGTTCTGTTATAATGTCAATTTTTTTTTAAATTATTTCCTTCCGTTTTTGTTTTGATATTTATTATTTTATATTGTTTGAAAATAACTACTCTCTGTCTCTAACACAACCTAAGCTTAGAAGTAATCTTCATAAAATTGTATTTTTATTTGAATTATGTGTGTATTATGATTTTTAATAAATAAACAAAACAGTTGAAGCTCTAAATTAAGATTTTGCGAAAAATTGCCTATATTTTATCCCTTTAACGTGAAGATGTAATAAATAAAATTCAATAAATATAACAACTAAATGTATATATATATATATATATATTTTGTTGGTAATATTATAATGTTATCCTGTGAGTCATAATTTGATTTGATACTAAATGTATGATAATTATTCAATATGCACGTCCACTATTTAACATATAAGTGTACCTATCGAAGAATCAACAAAACCATTGTGTTATTGTCACTGTTTTAATAATCTATAAACGAAAAAATAGATAACTATTCGAGTTTTGTGAAAATACTCTTTATGCGATAACATGTTATATTATTATCATTATTCAGTTCCGTATAGTAATGTAAACATAATAATAATCTACGACTGACTTTTCATTATCAGCTGTTTGTTTTTAACTGTCGAAAAATATATAAGAAGAAATACCGTTGTTGGTTTTTCTTTGTTTTTTGTGGGAAAATCATGTGTGTGTGTGTGTGTGTGTGTGTGTGAACAAACCGTTAGTCGGATTAATTATGGAATTTTTAAAATATATGCAATGTGAATTTAAAAAAAGTATAATAATATGCTAATATGATATTAAATAAATAAATAAATAATAATAATAATGAAGTATAATATACTACGGAAGAAGACTGCTTAGCAGTTGGCACAAGGACGATATTTTTATAATAAGACTGTTCGATCCATCGCACGTTTTGCCATTGTCCTTGTGCCAGAGACAAAGGGGGCATTAAATAATAGGACGGGTGTATATGTGATAAGGAATTTCCAATTGTCCTTTTGTAGAACTTATTGATTTTCGTTGTTGTTTCGCCACAGTCGTCGTACAAGCTCGACCGGAGCACTCGGTCGAGAGTTTTACGGCCATTTCGGTGCTTTACACATAGATTACATCATTATTATTTGTAGACACAAAAAAAAAAATATATAAATTAATTAAAAAATTATGGTTTTCGGTTATACTCCCACAAGCGACGGGTCGGTGTTGGTGGAAAAAACGGCCGTTCTGGTCTCGGTGGTGAACGGTCTCGAAGCTGAGAATTTAATTAAAAAAGAGGTTTTTTTATTTTGTTGTTATTGAAAATTGAAATTGATCGTATTCGAATGTTTTTAATATTAATGTGCGTTGTTTTGTATTTTTATTGCAGATAAATCTCCGACTGATTCTGGTCAGTGGCAAGACGAAAGAATTCATATTCAGCCCCAACGATTCGGCGGGCGATATAGCTCAAGCGATATTCGATAATTGGCCCGAAGGTAAGTGGTCGTTTTTGTTATAAATTTTTTTTTTCACAAGTCCACAAGAGTCGGCCTAGAAAAAGGTCGGTACTCGCCCAAAAATTATTGCTTATACTTAAACAAAATACTCAATTTGATTATTGCTAATTCTCTTGTTTGCAAAAAAAAACCTTTGAAATTCAAAGCAATTTAACTTTTTTCACCGGACAACACAAATGTATAAGATACTATAAATACAATATATTAATGTAATCAGTACGCCAAGAGTACCTATTGGATTTAAATAAAACATATATTTATTTTGACCATCATTTTTGGGTTGAAGACGTCGAATAATACAAATTAAATTGAACACAGAAATTAAACATTATTACTTGTAATGTCTCAAGTTTACTGAATGCCTTGAATACTAAAAAGTCTTTAACGATTTTTGTGTAACTGATATTAGACGTTTTCCTTCGCTCGATGCAATGACCATCTTATTTATTTATTTTTTTTTTTTTGCTTGTGCACTATAAAATATTGCCAAGCTGTTTGGAAATTAATCGCGCGTTGGCGATAAGGTGAACCTCACTGTTTTATTACTTTTTGGTTTCAAAGACCTAGGCAGTTTGTAGTGTAGTCGATATAAGGGAATTTGTATTAAGATAACAAAAAAAAAAATCGACATCTGTGCAATTTTTTTTGTATTGAATTATTGCTTTTTCTTTGTATTTCGATTGAATAGCCGTCATTATTTTATGACTTATTGTCGATTCATGTATTTTTATAATTATGTATGTTGGACACTCTAGAAATATCGATGTTGAATCATTTAAGCACAATATTCTTATTTTAATTGGACAATTACATAGAATCATTTTTATGGTTTAGGAAATCGACATATACTCCAAGTCTATCTAAGTATTGACTTGCAATATTGGATATTTGAATCTAATGGATTGTTTGGGTCAAAGCTACTGTTGGTTCAAAAAAACAAAATTTCTATAATAATTAATAAATCGTATCTTGTTTGAAACCTAGAAACTTTAATCATACTGCCAGTGAAAACTCATATTGGTTTTCAAATGTCAAAAGTAAAATTTATTGCAAAATATCTGTTTTGTTATGACTTATGGTCATAAAACAATTTTATTTAAGTATTGAATGCTCGGAATTCGGTTTAATTAATCGTCAGAATTATTATCATATAAAATTGTTATTGTTTTATACAGAATTTATTAATGTAACGTTGTTGTTGATAACAATTATAATATTACTCTTAGCTTCCTTCCTGGCTGTAAAATCAATCGTCTATTATTGACGTTTCCGGTGAACAGGACATTCACACCACAGCACAATGCACAGAAATCTCATTAACAGTGCCTCAAAATATTATTTTAGTTATGCATAAGTCTGAACGTTTATTTAATAAATATTACAATTAATTGTGGGCTTTATTTATCTAAAGTACACCGTCGAAATAAGTAATAACACAAAACAGAATATGTATAATTAAAATGTATATTAAATTTGTGCATAAATTAATCTTTATGACCTAATACTGGAGCTTTTCATGTAGGTCTTGAATTTTGTTTTATATAATGGTTTAATGTTATAAAATTGGAAAAAATGTCTTATGATACTTATAAACTACCTTATGAAATAATAAATTTGTCTTATTTTGAAAAGTTATAATTATCGATTTCAAAAAGGTTCTAAAAGCTAAATTATATAATGTTAAAAAACCTTACTTCAATTGGTGTATTTAATTATTAGTGCGATCAGCTGTGACCGTTAACCAACCTAATATTGGTAATTTTTCGATTCAAACTTGTTTGGAAGTAAGATTCTTTATCGTAGACTTACAGATGAGTAAATGCGGATGAGTAAATGCAGATGGCTTGTTTATTTTTATTGAATGATAATTGAAAAAAAATCCACAACATATTTATAGTGTTAACGATTCTAATAAAGGTAACCATATTATTAAATTAGAGCCCTAAACGACATAACATTTTCTCTAGAAATAGTTGCAATTTGGTAGTTTTACTTTTTGGAGACATTTTACGTACCTTAACATGTTTAGAATTCAATAACTTTTTTTTTTAACAGCGTTCTCTTTAGATAGAAAGAGGCGGCAATCGAAGATTCTTATTTTTTTTTTTTAAATAAATAAATAAATGAGAAAAAAATACATGTGGCCATGTTGTTTCTGTATAGAGAACAGGAGATGAAATTTATTTAATTTTTTTTTTTTTTCGAATTCCGGAGAATTTATTAAAAACTACTCACTCGAACGGTGGTCGTATACGTTTAATTATTATTCACAAAGTGATTTACCAACGCTAAAATATTTTTTTGGCCCATTGCGTGTGTGCGGCACACCGTCGATTTTACTTTACATGTGTACAGTTTTAAACGGTGCCGTACACAAAATCGGCGACGGATTCCAAACGGGATTCCCGCCGTCAACAGAGGTACCCTCGTCGTGGTTAATGGACGGGCGGCCGGTCGACCATGACGAGGGTACCTCTGTTGACGGCGGGAATCCCGCACAAAATCGGCGGCCGTTCTCGCGTATAGCGCGGTTTCGCCGATGACTTACGACCCGACCCGAACCTTGTCGACGTATCCCGCCGAGTGTAAATTTGTATACCTACCTGTTATTATTATTATTATTATTATCATCGTGATCGTCATCGCCGTCGTGTTTTATATTATATCCGTCTTATAAGAAATGGTCGCCGCCCGGATACCGAACGAACGATGATGGGGAGAAAAAAAAAAATACTTATCCGACTCGGTATTTAATGATGAGACCTATTTCCCGTTTGCCTGCTGCCGCCTGTATCTATTATTCTGTGTGTGCGTGCGATACCCCACGTGTTATAGCCGCGGGAGGGCAACGGTGAAGAATAAAAAAAAAAAAAAAAAACATAATAATATTATATGACACGGCTCGTTTTGGTGGCATAAGTAAAGCCTATAGCTGCTGCTGGTGTGTGTGTGTAAAAAAAAAAAATACCAACTCCACATAATAATATAACACACAAACCGGTTGGCTCGACTACGGCCGAGATGGTATTATGTTTATTTACTATTGTCCGGGAACCTAGCGAGTCATTCACTGCCCGGCAGTGTTGCCACATTAGGGTTTTCGATTATGAATTTGGGCATATTAATTTTTTACTACTAGGATAATTTAGAGGAAGCCCCCAAAATAAAGCGTCCGATTTCAAAACCAGCCAAAAGACACATTTTGGAAACGGATTTTTTTTTTAAAGTGGCTACATTTTATTATTACACGGTATGTGAAATTTGTTATTGAGTATCAAATAAAGATATTATTATAATTAAAACAGTGTTTGGAAAATATTGGTCGGTCTTAACATTGCCCACCTGAATATATTATTTGTTGTTTGTGAACGTTTTTAAATATTGCTTTTAGCAGGTTTTCAAACTAGACCCCTTAAATGTCAGGTGTCATATTTTTTTGTTTGAATAATATTATAAGAACGTAAAATAGACAAAATAATAAAAACAAATGTTGTCGAAAGTATTTTGTTTTAGTATTTTTTTTCTTGTGATTAAAGATTAAACAGTAAAAGCCTTGACAATGATGTCTACCACTCCTATTGTATTCAAAATCGAGAAAATCGCTCAATCAATGTACACATTTTTTAACTTAAGGGGATTAAAGCTGTATGTTAATTTTTACTTCTTACATCAAAACACCTGACAACATTTTGACTACTTAGCTGTGCTTTACTAAATTTATTAATGTAAATGGATTTTTTATGTTTTCCTTTTTTTTGTGTGTAAAAGAACTACGTTTTAATCTTGAAAAATGTTGACATTTTGTTTATTTAATTACAAAAAATGGAAAAAATCTTAGTTATTTACAAAGTTGAAATGGCATAAAAAAATAAACTATTGAATTAGTTCCAAATTCGTATGGAATACTCTTTTTGGACACACGTTGATAAACCATAATCAAGTATTAAAAACCCTTTCCCTCTAAAGGGGTGGAAACTTTTTCTTTATTTATCTTTATTACAAGTAATTTTAGGGCTCCTGGTTGAGGGTTTGAAATTACACTGAAGATACTTCTGAAGTGTGGACATAACATATACAATTTGTTCGTTCTTCTGTACACTTATTTATTTTTCTGGAAAAAACTGTAACTGTCTATCAACATATTTTATTAGTGAAAACCACTCGACTTCTTTTCACAATACAAATTTTCAAACAATGTAAATATTTTACAAAGCCTTACACGCGTACATAAATCATTAAAATTTATATCTTCCCAGCAAAGAAGCCATTGCAAAAAGTTTGTTTTTTATTATTATTATTGTTGTACACACAAATCAATCAATTTATGGTTAATAAAATATCACCTGTTAACAGTTTGACGTTGAAATTAAAATATTCTTAAACGATTACATAACCTATCCACCATTTCTTTTCTTTTCTTTTTTTTTCATGCAAAGTACATTAAAATAAAAATAAAATATATAAATAAAATACATTTCGACTCAATCCGCCAAATCCCATTTACATAATAAAACCACTGGCGCATGACCGTCCGATTGTTTTCACTTTTCTCGTTTAACTTTTTCCCTTTTTTTTACTTAATTTATGTGTATAGAATTTGTATTTTGTAAATTTTACATAAGTTGTAAACTAAAATAAAAAATCACACGATCCAAAAAAAATTGATCTTGGAAGCTATTTTAATAGATCTTAAAATGGTTTTTTTTTTTAAAAACTATTTTGTGACAGCGAATTCTTTTAAACTTATTTTCATGTTTTTTTGTGTTTCAAACAAAAAATTAAAAACTTAGGAGACGACTAAATATTGATTTTGATGACAGATTCGTGGCCTCATTATTATATTATATTTTATTATATTTCTACATTATTCAGGTAAGACTACTCCATTTTTTTTTTTTTTTTGCTTTTTCTGAAAAATGTGATTTTTGGATCTTGTGAGATATTATTTATATATATATAGTTAATTTTATCATCATTAA